AAAAAAAAAAAAAAAAAAAAAAAAAAAAAAAAAAAATACATACATACCCATTTAAATATATATACATATATAAAGAAATATAAGAAATAGAAAAATTATAAAAAATTTAATTGATATATAGAAAAAAAAAAAAAAAAAAATGTGAATATTTTATAAAAACAAAAAATTTTTTTATTAATAAAAATAACTATTATTCATAAGAATATATTTTTTTTTGTTAATATTCCAAAATTATATTAGAATTGCATCAACATGAAAAATTAGAAAATATTAAATATTTTCTTATTTATATAAACAGTTCAATTATAACTTATAGTATTTTTTTTTCTTTTTTTTTTTTTTTTATTAACAAAAATAAAAAATGACATCTGCTCCAGGTTTAGCATTTGCTAATTTAACATTAATGCTTGATGTACCTCAACTACCAGCAATTTTTTTTGTAAATATAAGAAATAACTTTAAAGTTTTCATGAATGAAATTAAGCAAAAGATTATAGAACATGAAGAAATTTATTATCCACATAACAGAATTAATTTACAAAATAAACGAATAAATAAAATGGGAAGAATAAGGAAATATAGTAATAATAATAACTGGTTATTTGGAAATCCATATTAAGGAAAAAAATACAAAAAAAAAAAAAAATTCCTTATTTTATATTTAGAATTTTACACTATTTTATTTTAAAAATTTTTTACTTGATATTATAATGAAGAAAGAATATCTTTAAAATAATCTTTGTGTTATAAAATCTTTTAAATATAAAATATTCTTTTAATTATAGTATAATTCAGTTTTTTTTTTTTTTTTTTTTTTTTTTACATTAATATAAAAAATTTCCTATTTTAATATGTTTTGAATAGATGTTATGTACTTTAATTTTTTTTTAATATTTTTCCTAATTTAAATGTTTTTTTCTCTATTTTTTTTTAACATACATTTACATATAAAACTATTCCTTTTTTCGTTTAATTCTTTTTAAAAATATACAAAAATAACTAGGAAATTAAGAAAACTGTTTGATTATTTTATGTTATAAAAGGTTTAATTGTTTAAAAAATTTTTTAAATTCATTATCATAAAATGTTTCTATTATATTAGATGTGTATTTTATTTATATTTGTTTTGCTATCTTTAACATTATTAATGTAAAAAAAAAATTAATATTTTTTAATGCTAACAAAAATAAATGAAAAACAGTTTATTTTTAAATATGCCAACTTATCATTAAGTAAAAAATATATAATGTAAATATTATAAAAAAAAAATATTAATAAATAAAAAAAAGTTGCACATAATTCAAAAAAAGTCCTCTAAAAAATAGTACAAATATTTAAATATTTTTTTCAAGTATGAAATTATATACACGAAAATTAATATATAATCTTCATTTATATATATATATATAAATATATATTTATATATTTTTTTTTTTTTTTTTTAAATAATATTATATTCCACAAATATATTAATATATATATTTTTATTTGTATAATTAGGAAGTTTCGTTAAACTATTTATATTAAAAAAAAGAATTACAGTAATATTAGTATAATTTTAAAATATATTTTTTATTAAAATAAAGAATAAAAATTTCGAATTAAAGAATTCAAAAATCATAATAGAAGAATAGAAAATAATAAACATAGAAGAATAAGAAATAAAAAAGTAAAATAATACTTTGTTGAATAATATAATAATATTATAAAATGAATGACAAATATTCAGTTTCAATAACTCTTCTGGGTTTAGCATCTCTATTGAAAAGTGGACACTCTGTTTACTTACGTAATTCTTAAAATCAGAAAGAAATAAAAAAAAATTAACATAAATTATTAAAAAAATTTTTTTTTTTTCTGTGCTTTTATAAAAGTAGTTATATGCATAAACATATTTTTTTTTTTTTTTTTTTTTTTAAATTATACAAAAAAGATTTAAATAGATTCAAATTAGAAAATGAAAATATGGAGAACTTTGCTATTCCCCATATGGTTTTAATAAAAAAATATTAGTTTAAGATTTATTTTATTTTATTTTTTTTTTTTTTTTTTTATAATATATATTTTATTTTATCTTTTTTAATATTTTTAGTTAGTTATTCAAATAATTTTATGTGCCTTAATAACAATGTATGGAGGAAGTAAATTATTTCTAAAATTTCAAAATATTAAAAATGATTCGTCACAGAATTTCAATAATCAGTAATAATACAAACTTTTTTTTATTGTTATACTTTTGAATGATTTTAATATTTTGATTAAATTTTGCATTTACGTTTTTATATGATATTTTATTCCATACAATTAGTTTACATTTTATTGTCTTATTTTTATGTATTTATTTGTTAATTTTACATTTCATTATTTTTTATTTTTTATAATATTTATGCTCTTTTCAGTGATTGGGATAAAAATCATACTAGACAAAATTTCCGCCATAGTTTTAATAGAAAATACTTCATTAAAGATTATGTAAGGAATTATATTAATAAAGCAATTTGAAATATTTGAAATATTTGAAATTTTCAACTTGTAAAAAATATCATTATTTTAAATTACTCTATCAAAATAAAAACTTCACATATAATTTAAAATTTTTTAACAAGTTTATATTAACAAAAAAACTAAAAAGTATTTTATTATGTTCTGATCTTTTATTTTATTTTTTTCAAGATATTATAAATGTTTAACAAATTATTTTCATTTCTATATGTTTTTATTTATTATCCTTATTTTCTTTCCTTTTTCATTTCTTTTATTTTGTTACATAATATGTTAGTTCTATGAAGATACCCATCTTAATTCATTTAAATTTTTTTTTTTTTTCTTTTAATATTTTAAATAAATTTGAATTATTTTTTTAATGTATTATTAAAATTAAATAAAATTTTAACTTCATTTTTTTGTATAAAAATTTTTAAGTTAAAGTATATATATATATCATTAGAAGCTATTATAGACATAAAAAAAAAAAAATAAAAAAAATAAATAAATAATAGGAATCATAGAAAATATTGTTTTTCATTAGTCTTATATTTTTATAAATTTATTTTTTATACTTTATTATTAATGATTTTATTTTTTTAGAGAAAAAAAAAAATAGGTAAATGTTGGATAATATATTTATATATAATATTAAGAAACATATATCAAAATATAATTAAAAAAGTTATATGCATAAAAAATATGAAACATTTATAAAATTTCAATGAAAAATAAATAACATAATATTTTAATAGAAGGATATTAAAATAATTACAAAAAATTTTTATGAAATAAGAGTTACTTCCATTATAGTATATATTTATATGCATAATTATTTTTCCAAAGGAGTGTGCATATTTTATAAAAAAAAAAATATCATAAGATAAATAAAACTATTGAATAAAACCACAATTAAAATACATATTACTATAGTAAATAATACATTTTTATGAAAACTAATATAAATTAAAAAAATATATCATATATTTTTTTTAAAAGTTATACAATATTATTTTAATATAATTCTAATTTTTATATTATTATACTATGTATAAATAATTCCATTTTCTCTGATTAATTATCTTTAATTAAAATATTGTTCATATAAACTATGTTAAAATTCAAATATATGAATATATTTTATAACAATATGATTAAATTTAAATATATTTCTTAACATAATAACTAATTTTATAATATAAATAATTTATTAATTCTATACTTTTAATATTTGTAAATTAAACTCTTCCTATTGTTGTTTATAATAACATACACATCTATACTTTGTCAATTATTTTCTATTGTAGTTTTTCTTTTTTTTTTTTTTTTTTTTTTTTTAAAATTAACTATTAATAATTTGATAAATAATTTATCTTTTTATTTATGTCTTATAAATAATTTCTTTTTTTTTAAACTCCTGTTCTTTTTCTTGGAGCACATTTAATTATATCATCTACACGTAATATCATTTCAACTGCTTCAGTAGCTGAAGTTAGTTGAGATAGTTTTGAATTATAAGATTCATATATTCCTAATTCCATTATATTTCCAACATCACCATTGTTAATATCTATACCTGCATATTTATTTCCTTTAGTATGTTGTGCTCTGATTTTACTAACAATTTCTGAACTGTCAAAACCACCATTATCTAAAATATAAGTAGGAATTTGTCTTAAGGCTTTTGCAAAAGCTTCAATGGCTAAGCTTCTTTTTCCTTCTACTGTCCTAGCCAAATTATCAACAGCATTACTCATCAACATTTCTGAACAGCCAGCACCTAAAACAACACGGTTATCTTTCATAGTTTCTGACAAGACAGCTAATGCATCATGTAATGATCTTTCACTTTCTTCTAATATATGAGTTGATGCTCCTCTTAGAATAATTGTACATGCACCATTTTTTTTACATCCAGAAAATCTAATTAATTTATCTTCTCCTATTATAACTTCATCAATTTTTTCACAATAACCTAATTGTATTTTCAAATCTCTTTCAAATGTAGATGCTATTTCTGCACCTAAGCAATTAGCTAATCTTTCCATTCCATCAAAATCACTATGCTCAATTGTCATAACATTATTCTCTCTAAATATTTGTTCTGGATAATTATATATTAATTGTCTATTTATAAATACATTACATCCATGAGATATAATGTTTTCTACTTTATTTTTCATCTTCAATTTTTCTTCATTTTCTAAATCTTGAACATCCTCAAAACTATGAACATTAACTTTAGTTCCATAAATTTTTATTTTATCGGTATCCATTGGTGTATTTGCAATCATAACATGACAATCTGTTAATGTTCTTGGTTGGTTTATTCCTATTTTTTTTTCTAAAATAAAACCATCTTCTAAGTAAGAATCTTTAATAGTTCCTCCAGTTTTTTTAATAACTTGAATTAAATCTAAATTTAAATTATCTTTAATTCTTAAAATGGCATTAACTGCCAAATTAGCAAAATGTTCTTTTTCATGTGTTAATAATTTAGAAGATAAAGTAGTTCTAGCAATTTTTAAAAGATCTTCTTTAAATAAATCAGAAGTTATATCATGACTAAAGCATGAATCTAATAACGCTTCTCTTGCAACTTTTAAGGCCATTCTAAAACCATCACAAATTATTTGTGGATGTATTTTGTTCTCAATTAGTATTTCTGCATTTCTCAACATTTCTGCAGCTAAAACAACCACTCCTGTAGTTCCATCACCACATTTATTATCTTGTTGCATACTAACATCTACTAAAATTTTAGAAACGGGGTTATCTAACCAAACAGATTTTAAAATTGTTGCTCCATCATTTGTTACAGTATGTTGATGAGTTCTTGCTCCTTCAATATTTAATGGAGTTAATATTTTATCTAATCCTCTAGGACCCAATGTACTTTTTACTAAATCACCAACTGCTATTGCACCAACAAAATATTGCAATCTCGCTATTTCTCCTTTATCTTCTTGTGCTCCTTCTTTTAATACATCGGGAATGACAGAATTCATCTAAATAAAAAAGAAAAATTAGGAAAATTTGGAAAAAATTATAAAAATTGTATTTATTAATGTAGTAATAAAATTAATTCACATAAATATATATATAATAATATTTAAAAGTTTTGTCATTTAAAAAAAAAAAAAAATAGTAATAAATATATAATTATTTAATAATTTCTTAAAAAAAAAATGTGTATAGAAATCATTATTTAAATTTAATAATATATATATTTTTTCCTTTATATTACTTTTTTTTAGAAAAATATTATTTACAAATGATAAAATTTTATAAGCAAAATTTAATAATTCTAAAATTTTCTATATTTATGAAAACCTTTTCTTTATAGTAAAAGATGAATATTTAAAAATTCTCTTACTTTTTTATTATATTTTTAAATATCAGTTTTATAAAAAAAAAAAAAAAAAAAAAAAATATATATATATATATATATATAAATTAAAAAAGAAAAAAAAATATGCATTTATTTATATATATAAATGAATATATAAAAATATAAAAAATAACGAAAAAGAAAAAAATAAATTATATTTTTTTTTATGAACACATATAAATAGGTTTTTATTTCCTTTATATTTAAATATCTTAAAAAAAATATTATATTTACTTTTTTCTTTTTTTCTGTAATTAAAAAGAAATAAATCAAACTATTATTATTATATTATTGCAATACAGGAAATATCAATATGTTTTTTATTTCCTTTTTTTTTTTTTTTTTTTTTTTTTGTGTTATTTTTTAAGAATATATTATAATATTATTTCTTTATTTGTATGCTTTATCATATGTTGTTTTAATATTTAATAAACATTTTAAAATTAAGAATATTTAACTCTTTTAATCTATATTTTAAAAAAAAATATTATCCTATATAATTGAAAGACATATTTTTAAGCGATGTCATTTTTATAATAGATATAAATATTTTCATTTAAGATTATCAAATATAAAGTTATACATTTGTATATTTTTTATTATTAATATTTTAAAATATAAAATCACTTTTTTTATTCTTTTGAAATTAATGTAAACCAAATAATACAATCAGATAATAATTGAAAAAGTAATATATTTCTATAAATATGATAAATGCTATATTTTATATTCCTAATTAAACACAGATATAAATAATAGAAAGTCACTGTCAAAATAGTAATCTAAAATTTTTAAGTTAAAGATTTATTTTTTAAATTTTTTTAAGAATTTCTTCTATTTAAAATTGAAAAAAATCATAATTTGTTAATTTAGAATTTTTTATAATAGCATAAAAAGTCGCAAACCTTTTTTAATTAAACTTTCGAATATTAAAATAATAAAAAGGATATGCAAAAATAATTTGAAAAATATATATATATATATATATATATATATATATATATATTAAATGAAACCTAACTATTAATGTTTTTCCTTATGAAAAAAAAAAATAACGAACAAAATTTACCTAAATATAAGTTTCCTTCTTTTTTTTTATAAAATTATAAAAAATAAATTTAAATAATATGCTATTTTTTATAAGTTTAAAATTATATTTTTAATTTAAGAATTAATATTTTATGAAATATATAACATCATAATGTATATTCCCCATTAAAATTTGATCCATAGTCTTTTTTGTATAATTTTGAAACATTTCCCAAGTTACTGTATACTTGATTAGAAAAAAAATATAAACTTTTTTCTCTTTTATTATTTCATGATTAAAATATTTTATAACATATTAATATAATTTTGATAAAAATTTATTTAAAAAAAAAAATTTTTAAATAATATATGGCACGGTAATTTATAAAAAAAAAATATATATATTTCTCTATATAAGAAAGCATTTTAACCACTTAACGCTCTTTTTTAAATAATTTTTATTAATATTTATTTTTATTTTTTTTTTTTTAAATACATATATAAAACTTTTTTTTTTTTTTTAAATTTGTATTATTTCAATAAAATATTTTTGTAGAAATTTTAAATTAATTTTGTGTTAATTTTATAAGAATTTTTATCGTTTTGATAAAAAAAGTGATATAAATTGTTTTTATGAAAATTTAAGTGTTAAATAATACTATATAATTCAATATGGGGTCAGGTATGAACATAAAATAATTTTGTATTATAAATATTACAGATAAAAAAAGAAAAAAAAACAAACAAAAAAAAACATTTTATTAAAAATGTTAAATATTACGTACGTATATATATATATATATATTCTTTTTTTTTATTTAAAAAGGAAAACCAAGAGGATTAAGAGCAGCAAGAAAATTAAGAATAAGAAGAAGAACACAAAAATGGGCAGATAAAAGTTATAAAAAATCTCATCTAGGAACAAGATGGAAGTCTAACCCATTTAGAGGAAGTTCTCACGCAAAAGGAATTGTAGTAGAAAAAGTTGCCATTGAAGCTAAACAGGTTATTATAAAAATAAAACTTATATAAAAAATATTTAGAAAGAAATAACAAAAGTAAAATAAAATTTATTTTTATTTTATAAATATTTTTATTATATATAAGAATAATATAAAACTATTTGTGAATAATAATAAGTATATATATATATATATATATTAATGAGAAAATTAAAAAAATAAAATATTGGTTCCATTAGTGTTCCATAAACTCATTATAATGAGTAAGTGGGTCAAAAAATGGATAAATAAAACTAAGAATTTAATTAAATTTTTTTTATATTTTTATGATACTTTATACATAAAAATATTTTGATTCTTTAACAATATAAATATAAATATATATATATATATATATATATATATATATATATATATATATATATATATATATATATATATATATGTATATAATAATGTATATAAAATTTTAACATTTTTTTACATTTTATTTTTATTTTTATTTATTTAGCCTAACTCAGCTTACAGAAAATGTGTAAGAGTACAATTAATTAAAAATGGTAAAAAGATAACAGCTTTTGTTCCAGGGGATGGTTGTTTAAATTTTATCGACGAAAATGATGAAGTTTTAGTTTCAGGATTTGGTAGAAGTGGTCATTCAGTTGGTGATTTACCAGGTGTTAAATTTAAAGTGGTTAAAGTAGCAAGAGTTTCCTTACTAGCTTTATTTAAAGAAAAAAAAGAGAAACCTAGATCATAATTTAATATAAATTATTTACTATACTATATTTTATTTTCCATTTATATATTGTACATTCTTTTTTTTTTTTTTTTTTTTTTAATAAACGTTAAAATTATTTTGTTTTAATGTATTATTTTTTATTCCTTTTTTATATTTTACATGAGTATTTATAAAATACTATTAATCTTTATGCAACTATTAAAAAATTACAAAAATTTATAATAGTTTTATTGTAAAATAAACTTTCGACTTTTAACATTGAAAATATAGGGTACATATAAAAAAGGATAAATACTATATACTTTTAGTTTCGGAAATAACAAAATAGAGACAAATAATCTAACGTTTCTTTTTGTTAATTCAAAAGAATTTTTTTTTTTTTTTTTCATAATTCTTATTGAAATTCTTTTATTTAAATTCTTCTGTTTTGCTACTTTTTTTTAATAAAATTTCTTTAGTTACATATTATTTCAATAATATAAAAAATATTTTAAACGCAAACATGTAAAACCATATAAAAAAAAAAAAAAAAAAAAAGTGAAAAATATATTTATGCAACTGCTGTTTGTTTTTGTGACATTAAAAATTCTCTTTCTGCTGAGTCTTCTCCAAAATCTACTATTGCAACTGAACTAGCTCCAATAATCTTTCTAGCATTTCCTTCCTTATCTAATTTATATAATCCTGCCCAATGGCCTAAATCTTTACTATCATTTTGTACAAGGAATAAAGGAATATTCTTTTCAGTACATAAAGCTGTAATTAGTTTTTTATAAGCAGGTTCAGAACATACACTTGATAAGAAGCAAACTTTTGCTTCTTTTGATTCAATCGCTTTTATAACTTCCCTTATACCCACTTTTAATCCATCATGAACATGAGCATTTTTTATTACCTTAAAAATCAGAATAAAAAAAAAAAATTTCATTTATATTTCTTAAATATAAATTTATATAATTATATTACATTCTTTATATACTTTTACATGTACATGTTCATACATTTCTATATTATATAAGCATGTTTAATTACAAGTTAATATATTTTTTATAAACGATTTAATTTTTTTCTTTTTTAAATTACTTTTTGTATTGCTGTGGTATTATCTAAAACTGCCTTTTCTTCAACTACTACGTTATTATCAACACTTTCTACATCAGTCATTTTTAATAAAGTAAAATTATACAAAAAGATGAAAAAAAAAAAAAAAAAAAAATTAAAATAATATCAATAAATTAGCAAGCAAAATTTTAACTAAAATATTATTTTCAATATTTATTTCAAAATATTTTTTTTCTTTTTTCTTTGAAAAATATTCACAAGGTCACATATATCTTTATAATATTTTTTTATTTTTTTTTTTTTTCAATAATTCGCACGTGTATATCTTCA